AGGAGGGAGGGGAGCCAGGGGAAGGAGTCAGAGAGGCCAAAGGAGGAGCAAGGTCGGGGCCCAATGCAGCGGAGGCTACAGAACCCGGTCTTCCAATACGGACCGACTCGGGGGCTTGGTCGCCCACCCCACGAGCCTGAGAAGGTAAGCCAGAAGCAGCCGAAACAGGGGTTATCATCTTGACGAAAAGAAGAATTCACTCACGAATGTGCCCCCACACCCACCATGGAGCCACAATTAGAGGCAGGACACCCAACAAGAAGCTATCGCCGATCTTGTCGGGGCCTCCTAGGGGGTGCGTCGTGAGTATACGCCCCACAAACGCCACCTTAAGAAACCGACAGTCCGTCGAGATCGGGTTCAGTGACGAAGTGGGGATTGACAATAAAAGGTTCCCCTCGCTCTCGACGTCGGGTACTGCAGTTCTACGGGTGCATGAGTATGCCTCCTCAAGCACCCGGGCGTCAAAATAGAAGAAGTCCATGGTAGAACCAGAACGAGCAAAAGGTCGGCAGGAAACGGCAAGCAGATAGGAGAAGAGGGGGGAGAAAAACGAAACTGAAGGAAAAGGAAAAGGTGCCCAGCAGAATTGGAGAGGACGGCAGCAGGAGCACAAGGCTAGAAAAGGACAGAGGACTGTCCTAAGGAGCATCACACTCCGGCAGCCGCCCACGAAGCCCCCACACGGCGACAACGAGCTGAGCGGGGAGGGGTTCATATATGCAAATGAATTTCACAATTAATTGGCTTGCATGCAAGCCTTCACACTCCTTGAGTTAGCTGTCAAGTAACTATAAAATGCCATGTATCTTCATTTTCACTTCAGTTATATTTATTTCAAAGTATAAACATGCAGCTTATATTTCTGTCTTTGTGATGACAAAGAACTTCGTTTATTACAATATCAAGATTAAATTGACATTGATCTTCGAAAGGTCAAAGTTGCCATCGATAAGGAGAGCGTCGGAAAAGAAACCTTGTTTGAAATATGAATATCTTTCCTTTATAATAAGGTATAATCTCTGATGGGTTCACAAAAACTATTTTATCTCTGCTTTTCTGAGAACATATATACATATATAAGCTTTAATTGTGAATTTATATTAATTAAGCAATATCAGAGAGTGTGTAGGGTTCGATGTTCTATAAACGAAAAGGACAGGAGTAGTTTAAGTAGCGAATGGATACCAACGAATAACATTAGTATCTATATAACAAAAGGAGTCGATTTATATTCCAGACACGTATTTTTATAAATAATAAATGTTTTGTTAAATTTATGAAAGATATTACAAATACCCAATCTACTTGTTAATATCATCAATTAAATTTGCGACAATTTGAGCAAAGAAGTGCAATGACTGGATCACTGTGTAATGGAGACTGATATGCCAGCAAACACTCTCCAGGCGACCATATAACTTGGATAAGTCTCTCCACAATATTGTCGCTTGGACCGTCGACTTTTTACGGCGTCACCTGCTACATATTTACTTCTAATTTCGTTATGAAATTAGGTTATTTCAGAGTAAAAACGGGTTTGTTCATGCTCTGCATTCAGCACCAACATTACAGTAAGTACATATACCATATTTCTTCATTACTTATGTAATGCTAGGAGGATTTGGGGTATTTGGGTTTATTTGGGTAGATTTTGGTAATTGTATGGTTTTGTGGGTACTGGTGGTGGTGGTATGGGGACTGGTAGTGGTGTGGGTACTGGTGGTGGTAGTGGTGTGGGGTACTGATGGTGGTGGTGGTGTGCCCACACTACACTGTGGTACCCACACTACACTGGTGGTAGTGTGGGTACATGTGGTGGTGGTGGTGTGGGTACTGTTAGTGGTGTGGGTACTGGTGGTGGTGTGGGTACTGGTGGTGGTGGTACTGGTGGTGGTGGTTGTGGTACTGGTGGTGGTGGTGGTGTTGGTGGTACTGGTGGTATTTGTACTAATAATCTAAAAAAATATAAGTGTTCACTTACGAGAAAACTTTCAATGTGAAACACAAAATGGCCACTGTGTTGATACTGGCGGCGGAGGACACTGTGACGTCCCAGATGAGTGGAGACGTGTGCAGTACATCCCTCGGTTGCTCCCAATGTCTCCCTTAATCGTTCCCTCATAACTATTCTCTCTCACTCAGTACTTAACTAACTCACTCACTCAGTACTTAACTCACTCACTCACACAGCATTAACAGCTTGTCCTCCAAACAAGACTCAAAAGTGATTCCATGCACCCGCCAAACCCCCTGTATATGAATGAAAAACGGTTTACACACGACTCACAATTGATTTCGTTCAAACACTTCCGGAACAAGTGCTTCACTGACGAATTTTGTTCGAACCACGATGCTGTAAATGCTTGATGATTTATTGATCAAGATTAAGCCACCAAAAAGGTGGCACGGGCATGAATAGCCCGTAAGTGGTGGCCCTTTTGAGCCATTACCAGAATCAATAGATGATACTGGAGATCTGTGGAGGTTGTAAATCCTACACCCACGTACTACAAATAATCGCCAACAGAACCTAAACACTTATCCTACCCTATGCCTATATATGCAAAATATGGTAATATATAATAATATTAATTTCTATTTGAGAAAATTCGCGTTTTGAATGAACAGCATGTTAAAATATATGAATGTGACTACGGAGTCGACCGCTGGATGTAATGGACGTGAATCGAGGACGTGTTGAGCATTGAATATTGCTCTCTCAAAGCATCTGGGGGTTATGATGAGTTAGTTTTGTTCATTTATTATGCACCACATACCAATCCTGTGGGCGGTAGGGGAAAGGGATACAGAGGCACATATATATAATGGGCTCAGTGACTGAACTCGACAATTCATTTAGCTAAGCAAGTTACAATTGTGATGAGCTAGTTACAAAATTCAATGCACATCCTCACATCAACAATGGGCTCGAGGCCGATCACAAGTCCAGTTTCTAATTTAAACAGTTTCTGAGGCTAGATAATGATGAAAGAGTTACAAGATACGAGCTAGGATGGTGTAGAGATTGCGAAGTCGGATTGCAAAAGGGATCTGGGAATTATGATTAGCAAGAATTTAAAACCAAAGGATTAATGCATGAATGTTTGGAATAAAGCAAATAGGACACTGGGATTTATTAATCAAAGCGTTAGTAACAAGACACCAGGTGTTGTTCTTCAGCCTGGGTGCTTAAAGAATGCAAAGAGGAGCTTTCCGAGCCACTGTCTACCATATTTAATAAATCAATGGAGTCAGGCAGAGTGCCAGAGTCATGGAAGGTAGCTAATGTGGTACCAATTTTTAAGAAAGGAGATAGATCACTTGCGTCAAACTATCGGCCAATTAGCCTAACGTCTATTGTGGGAAAGTTACTTGAATCAATAATTGCAAATACAATTCGTCTCCATCTTGAAAAACATAAATTAATAAATGAGTCGCAACATGGTTTTACAAATGGCCGTTCATGTTCCGGCACAAACACGGGACTGTTTGTTCAATTCCCCAGCTGGTAGTCCATCTTCATATCCCAGCTGGTAGTCCATACTCATATTCAAGCTGATATTCCGTCCTCATATCCTAACTGGTATTTCGTCCTCGTATCCCAGCTGGTAGTCCGTCCTCGTATCCCAGCTGGTAGTCCGCCCTCATATCCCAGCTGGAAGCCCGTCCTCATATGCCAGCTGGTTGTCCGTCCTTTTAAAGCGTTTTATCTCTATGTAGTGATGTAGTAAACATAAGTGTACACTTGCAGTATAACTTAAGAGGCTATTTCCAAGCCTCTTCACCCCGTGTTCATTACGATTAATTTCATCGTGTGTATCATGTTAAATTATATTGCCTAAAGTAGCACTTACTTTTGAAGTATTACTTGGTTATTTCATATTCAATTACGTCATGCCTATGCATTGTGGGAAAATCTGACTCCAATAATTTGTAATTAAAATAAAATAATTCGATAGCTGTGAAGGACCACCACTTTTTGAGAAAAAGTGGAAAACAAAATGAGACAATGGATTAAACTGATACCAAGAACTAGTGTCCTATGGATCTTAGTGAAACTGTATTTTTTATGTAAAGGGAGTCAAATTCACTTGCACAAAAATGGGGGGTTCAAGTGCTAGGATACAATTAAGTTCTAGCACCTCTAATCTGATGCTGGTTCGTTCATTAGAAAGAAATGTATATACATAAACTTAAATTATAGTTCATACATAAATCAAATAGAAAATTGTTAGTAAATAATATGATTTCCTAAATGGCAAGTAAATGGTGATTTAAGAGGAAATCATTCATGTAACAAAATATTTGCGTATCTAATACTACACTACTAGATATCAAGTCAGCTTAGCTGTAAATTCTAGAGAGGCGTAATTTGTTGTCACGATCCAAAGATGAGGTTTGCCCCACGCAAATTGTTGCACGTGCAGGTAGAGAAGCCTAATACTTTGGTTGTCGTGGATCCGGAGTTGGAAGGCAATTACATTGTAGAATTCCACTAATTGGTAACTACAAGTACATCTTGAATTACGAAATATCTTCGTACAGAATGTAATTATTACTGCAGAAATCTTGAGTAAATAACTATGCAATTTATATTCCAATAAAAGGCGGAATAAATTTGGAGATTCAACGTACTGGATATTGTTGTTAATCACACAGCCTAATGACAACTAGTCTAAATTTAAACATGTGCACAATATCAGAGTTTTGAAAATTATTAGTTGCCAGGCCGAGTGTCCGCTGATGTATCTTGAGATGATTTCGAGGCTTTTTTTTTTTTTTAGTGTCCCCACGGCCTGGTCCTCGGCCAGGCCTCCACCCCCAGGAAGCAGCCCGTGACAGCTGACTAACACCCAGGTACCTATTTTACTGCTAGGTAACAGGAACGATTACGAACGATAAATGTAGGAACGATTCCAGATCCCTCGTCCTCAGCTGCCGTGATATGACGTTACTTGTGGGTTGGAGTAATTATTAGTTCCTAGGACACTGCCGTGATGTGTCAAGTGACGTGGCACCACTCTACTAGTCGTGGGTGTGAAATACAAACTGTTAGCAAACTGAAATACAAACTGTTAGCAAGATTGAAACGCAGATCTCCATTGAGCGCTGTTAATGGCGTCTGAGTCACGTGTTGGCGGGCGACATTCTTGCGTCTTCTTCCTCTTCCCGATTGCGCATGCGCTGCTCTCGATAGACATGTCGAGCATAAACGGATTTATATATATCAGAATTTACTAAAGAAAGAAGAGATGGTATTGATGTCACATATAATCCTTCTGTGTTAAAATATAACTTTGCGTAACATAAATTGGGTTATTAAAGTCACACAGCTAATCGAGGAAATTAAAGTGAAATAAAAGAATTTCCTCTAGAATGTTTAATATCAACTAAATAAAGAAGTTCCAGTAAGCAGTAGTATGCTACGCAATTAAACTTATTAGAGAGTAACTATTTTTTGTAAAAGAAATGATAAACTGAACTCTGTTATAAATCCAACTAAATGTGGAAAGAATTAATGTTTCTGCCTGTGGTTCCTCGAGTCGTCACTCTGACTAGGAAGAATCTGGCAATATGTTTAATATAAATCATGATGATGATTAAATCTACAAGTTAGTGATTTTAGTAACTACTTGTGGTTAATACAAAGGTTGTATAAAAATACAAAAAATGTATGAAACTGTTGGTAATTTCCAACATGCATTTATAAGTGAATAAGTTGTTGATGTTTACTTTTTATTTATTAAATATTTTTCCCATGTGTCGCTCAACCTCATATAATATGGACACCTTTGTATTTCATATTTACATGCCATAAAATCTAAATTAAGGTAAAAAAAATACATTTTCAACAAAATAGTGGTTACTATTCTCAATAAAATCATGATTATTATACATGTTTTACAACATTAATAGCTATTATGTGTTCAATGTGGTTCTATAAAGAAAATTCATATGTCATTTTCACTGCAAAAACTATAATATATATATTTTCCCATCAGATATGGTGGTATCATCAGTGACTTTGATGATAAGAACGATACCATCGATGACAGTGACTTTGGTGGCAGGAACGACACCATTGATGACAGTGACTCTGGTGGTAAGAACGACACCATCGATGACAGTGACTCTGGTGGTAAGAATGACACTATTGATGACAGTGACTCTGGTGGTAAGAATGACACCATCGATGACAGTGACTCTGGTGGTAAGAACGACACCATCGATGACAGTGGCTCCGGTGGTAAGAATGACACCATCGATGACAGTGCCTCCGGTGGTAAGAACGACACCATCGATGACAGTGCCTCCGGTGGTAAGAACGACACCATCGATGACAGTGGCTCCGGTGGTAAGAACGACACCATCGATGACAGTGACTCTGGTGGTAAGAATGACACCGTTGATGACAGTGACTCTGGTGGTAAGAACGACACCATCGATGACAGTGACTCTGGTGGTAAGAACGACACCATCGATGACAGTGCCTCTGGTGGTAAGAACGACACCGTTGATGACAGTGACTCTGGTGGTAAGAATGACACCGTTGATGACAGTGACTCTGGTGGTAAGAATAACACCGTTGATGACAGTGACTCTGGTGGTAAGAACGACACCGTTGATGGCAGTGACTCTGGTGGTAAGAATGACACCGTTGATGACAGTGACTCTAGTGGTAAGAATGAAACGATTGATGATAGTGCCTCTGGTGGTAAGAATGACACCGTTGATGACAGTGACTCTGGTGGTAAGAATGACACCGTTGATGACAGTGACTCTGGTGGTAAGAATGACACCGTTGATGACAGTGACTCTGGTGGTAAGAATGACACCGTTGATGAGAGTGGCTCTGGTGGTAAGAACGATACCGTTGATGACAGTGGCTCTGGTGGTAAGAATGACACCGTTGATGACAGTGACTCTGGTGGTAAGAACGATACCGTTGATGACAGTGGCTCTGGTGGTAAGAATGACACCGTTGATGACAGTGACTCTGGTGGTAAGAATGATACCAACAGTCCGTCCTTGACGAGGAAGGTAAGAGCGACCGCATCGATGACAGAGCCATCTTCGTCGCCTGGTGGTAAGAATGACACCGTTGATGACAGTGGCTCTGGTGGTAAGAATGACACCGTTGATGACAGTGACTCTGGTGGTAAGAACGATACCGTTGATGACAGTGACTCTGGTGGTAAGAATGACACCGTTGATGGCAGTGACTCTGGTGGTAAGAATGACACCGTTGATGACAGTGACTCTGGTGGTAAGAATGACACCGTTGATGACAGTGACTCTGGTGGTAAGAACGACACCGTTGATGGCAGTGACTCTGGTGGTAAGAATGACACCGTTGATGACAGTGACTCTGGTAGTAAGAATGACACCGTTGATGGCAGTGACTCTGGTGGTAAGAATGACACCGTTGATGGCAGTGATTCTGGTGGTAAGAATGACACCGTTGATGGCAGTGACTCTGGTGGTAAGAACGACACCGTTGATGACAGTGACTCTGGTGGTAAGAACGACACCGTTGATGACAGTGACTCTGGTGGTAAGAATGACACCGTTGATGACAGTGACTCTGGTGGTAAGAATGACACCGTTGATGGCAGTGACTCTGGTGGTAAGAATGACACCGTTGATGACAGTGACTCTGGTGGTAAGAATGACACCGTTGATGACAGTGACTCTGGTGGTAAGAACGACACCGTTGATGACAGTGCCTCTGGTGGTAAGAATGACACCGTTGATGACAGTGACTCTGGTGGTAAGAACGACACCGTTGATGACAGTGACTCTGGTGGTAAGAATGACACCGTTGATGACAGTGACTCTGGTGGTAAGAATGACACCGTTGATGACAGTGACTCTGGTGGTAAGAACGACACCGTTGATGACAGTGACTCTGGTGGTAAGAATGACACCGTTGATGACAGTGACTCTGGTGGTAAGAATGACACCGTTGATGGCAGTGACTCTGGTAGTAAGAATGACACCGTTGATGGCAGTGACTCTGGTGGTAAGAACGACACCGTTGATGACAGTGACTCTGGTGGTAAGAACGACACCATTGATGACAGTGACTCAGGTGGTAAGAACGACACCATCGATGACAGTGCCTCTGGTGGCGGAAACGATACCATCGATGACAGTGACTCTCCGGCCGCGAAAAACGACTCTGATAGTGGAGATGGCAAGGACAGCCACGAGATCTTCTTGGCGACCGACACCCACCTCGAGGTCAACTCCACCACTGACAAGCAGACTATAGATGGCTCAGACATTCTTGTCCACACCAGGGTGAGTGACTTCGTCGCCTCCTTCAGCAGGTGTTGCTGTTGGTCCTCTGTTTGTTAGGCCCTCTCGGGTCGCAACCGGGTTCTTTCTCTGATGATGTTAGAGGTAGGGTATCCGGCCCCAAGCTAGTAGTGGCTTTCAAGGGATGTGATCCGTAACGCAAGTAAAATAAAAGGGGAAGGGAGACAAAGGCAAAAACTTAATAATATAATTATTACCGTCACCATAAATAATATAAAGATTATCACAAGGGGGAGGAATAAACACTATAATATACAAAGTAGTCTTCCTCTGAAGACTCTGGACATTCACGGTGCTCTACGATGCTAAGCTCTTGGTCCTCTTGGGGCCTCACAACGGATCCTTCGATTCCCTTGAGTCTACCCTGGCCACAGGCCAGCCAAATCACAGTTCCACTGGGGGCACCGTCGTGGAGGCCATCAACCACAAGTCCAGCCGGTAGCTGGCAGGTTCCAATCAGCAACGCTGGTTAGGCCACTCCACGACCGATACTAGGGTAGCGAGCCCTAGTCAGGAGCCTCGTGTGATCCCACAGACCACTCTCCTCGCCACAACACCCCAGTGGTTAAGCGTCTCCACCAGTCAGTCCCGGGTACAACAATCCCTCAGCTGCCACGTCACGGACAGGCTAACACCACAGTGTTCATCCGGGGGGTGACTCACAGTTGCTGCAGCAAATACTTGGAGACAAGACGGCTGCCTTGGGTAGACTGATCCAACGTTCATTACAGCAGTCCCAGGTCGACTCTGTAATTAGACACGTCATCAGTAATAGAGACACTCTAGGGCACCTCACTTACAGGCTTAGACACAAACGCCCACTTATCCACTCCATAGATGGCGTTGCTGTCTAAGCGTCACCTCACCAGAGGTCAGCAGCGGCAGTGTTATGAGCTGATCAGGACGGGAAACTAGCCCTTGTGGCTGGTATTTCTCGTCCTCACTTGATGGCGTCGTCCATTTGGAGGGGGTTTCGGGAGCTGACCCACAGATGGCGCGGTCGTCACTGCTCCGTGCTCGGACGCTGGGCTCGGGTCCGTAACATTGTCTCAGCTCCTTGGATGGTTAACTCACTGGTGTTGTAGTGGAAATGTTTTTACCATGGCTGGATTGTGTCATTCAGCGGAAGTGGACTGATGGATTTCGTAGTCTTGAGTCATAGTGTTCCGGGTCGAAAATGCCTGTATTGGTGCTTCTGTAGTATTTATTTATTTATTTATTTATATTCAAGAAGGCACATTGGGTTGATGAGAGTACATAGCATTCTGTTATACATTCTTTTATAGCCACTAGTACGCATAGTTTTTTGGGAAAGTCCTTACTCTAACAGATAATTTTAAGTTGGTAATTTCTAGTAAAATTTAAAAAATGTTTTCAGATACATTATACGAAAATTGTACAGTGTAGTACATGTTGTTTTAATATCGTCAGGAAAGTTTTAGGTATGTCGAGCTAGACATACCCGTTCGCCAGCGATGTACGGACCAACGCAGGTCAGGTAAGGCACACTGATAAAGTTATCCTTTGGAACAAGGAGAGAAGAGATTGAGGAGAAGAGCATACTTGATATAGTGCCAGGACTCAAACCAATGCTCGCTAGTTTCCATTTCTGGTCTCTGATCTGGAAGCAATGTAACGGACAATATTGACAACATTGGCCTCATCCAAGTCGTTGAACAGTAATAGTTGTTATTTGCACTTAGTGGGAGATTGTACTCTGAATCATGGTCTCATGCCTGTTAATACGAAAACGCACCTCAATAAGTCTTCATACCTTAATACCTGATGGGGCATTGTTAAGATAGTAGGATTAACATCATTTGGTCCTACTATCTTGGTGCAGATGTCTGTCTAGCACCTGGACGAACTGTGCACAGGTACTGTATTATGCATCCTGTTGCAACAGCTACAGTAGGTTACAAGTTCAATTGTGATTGCTAAATATTAGACCGGATAACTGACAGTGTTCTCGTTACCCAATTGCGCATTCTTGGTGTTGTCTTAATTATGCTTTGTTCCTGCCCTCAGGTGATCAATATCAAGCCTAAAGGTGGAATGCAGAACACCACATCCATAAAGGTAGGTCTCCACACCACAACCATACATGTAGGTCTCCACACCACAACCAAACATGCACGTCGCACACCACAACCATACATGTAGGTCTCCACACCACAACCAAACATGCACGTCGCACACCACAACCATACATGTAGGTCTCCACACCACAACCAAACATGCACGTCGCACACCACAACCATACATGTAGGTCTCCACACCACAACCATACATGCACGTCTCATACCACAACTATACATGTAGGTCTGCACACCACAACGTACAGTCAGTCTCCACATCACAGCCATACATGTAGCTCTGCACATGAGTAGTGTAAAGTGCGACTTGAACTGTCCCAAACCCGAGGAGAACCTCCGGGATTGAACTCGGCCATTGTCAAAAGTGGTGTGGGAGTCCGTAGAATGGGACGGGTTGCGTCGTGGGGGTCGGGTAGCGTCGCAGGGGTAAAATGTAAGGGATGTTGTGTCATGTAGGTAAGAGGGGAGGGGAAGATAAGTATGTGGGCATGTGTACATCATCTCAAAGGTTTCCCCGGATGTTATGACGCGTGGCATCCGGCCAGGCGTCACTTGAGAGAGTGTCATGTTGGGTAGGGGCTGGAAGCTAAGTGGTTAGTATGCAGTCATAGAGTGAGGGGAAAACGGACGTGATCCCAAAATGGGCGGACGTGATCCCAAAATGCGCGGACGTGATCCCAAAACGTGCAGACGTGATCCCAAAATGCGCGGACGGGATCCCAAAACGTGCGGACATGATCCCAAAACGCGCGGACGGGATGCAAAAGGGGCGGACGTGATCCCAAAATGCGCGGACGGGATGCAAAATGCGCGGGCGGGATACAAAACACCGGGTAGCTTCCAGAGTTGTACATACTCAGCAGCATCACACGTCCTCATAGAAATGAGGTTCTCACCACATACCACCACATAGATTTAAGAATGTCATGTGTGGAGGAGGAGGAGTATGTAGGTTATGTTGTGAAGGGAGGGGGGAGCCCCAATACCTGAGAGGATATCAATGACGTCCATTAGTTCTCCCCCTACATGGGCAGGAAGTGATGAGGGGAGCGTGAGAGAGCAGGGTCTAAGATTGGAGGGGGAGAAGGAGGGGAAAGGGAGGTAACAGCTGGCAGTGGGTTTGTGTGTGAAAGTAGTCATTATTTTTTCTTAAAGAATGACAGTTTTATGTACCTCCCTGCTTCCAGAGAGTTAAGGATATGTGGGCTATACCTACCACATAGCTATGAGGAGTGACACCACATGACCACATGGGTTACCTCTTCAAAGGCTGAGGCCTAACTGTTGCGAATGTCATCATCAACCTCTACCATAGTCAGTCATGCCCACCCCTCCCCCCCTCCATCCACATAGCAGGATATACCACATACCAACACCACCACCACACTGCTGTGAGTGACAGCAATACGGCATACCATACTCGCTCCTGACACAGCCATCACCGGCACATAGCATTGAGTGTGACAATGTTCTTTTTCAAAGGCGTGCCATGAGCACAACATACAAATTCCATCAAGAACTACCTACATGTTGCTAAACAGTCCAATCTCACACAAGGCAGTCATATGGGCAGTAAAGGCTTGCAGAGACGCATAAAGGAGTCCAGGACTGAACCCCACAATTCATTTTTAGCTAAGCAAGTTACAATCATGACGAGCTAGTTACAAAATTCAATATAAGACAACACATCGTCACGGGAGACGTGATCTCAACCTACAAATTGTTCTTGTTAACTGTGATTACAACATCTGCTGGCCCAAATAAATATCATTTAAATGTATGCGTGTCTACTCAATCTCCATTACCTCTTCTTCCTACACCCATTACTGCTGTGCAGACCTTGTAACACACAACGGCGTTATCATAGCAAGACAATGTCACAGAAGGTTCAAGACTCCTGAATGAATGAAACAGCAATCCGTCTCGTTAAGGTCTAACCTTCGTGGCGGTTTGAGGAGTAGTGAGATGGACGAGGTACTGGGATGGCCTTACCCTCTCCCCATCCACCCCCACCAAACCCCTACCCCCCTCCCACCCCCCTTCCAAGCCCAAACCATCAAGCATCACTACACCCTTCCCAGACCGGATGTTCTGTGCAAAGCCTTTAGTATTATTTCTGATCATATGTATAACCTTGTATCGCAATGTGACCAACATGGTATCATCATTCTTTGCTCAAATAGCATTTTTTAAGAATATTGAGAGTCATAAGCAGGTCTTCAATCTTATTATTATAACAAATCATAATTTGTTGAAAACACAACTGCATGGGATACACATAGCAGTCAGTGGTTTCTCTCTCTCTCTCTCTCTCTCTCTCGCCCTATTCAGATCATTTTTTAGTTGGGGGAAAAGTAACATCAATTCCTTTCTCCTGCCGCTGCTGTTCACATATCTTTTTTCATTTCACTTAGACTGACAGCGTACCAGAGGATGGATGACTAATGTCAATTTTTCGAGCCCCCATCACTCTCACCCTTATAACCTTGTAACATAACACGACCAACATGATGACATCGTTCTTTGCCCAAATATCACTAATGTAACGTGACCAATATGGTAACTTCGTTCTTTGCCCAAATATCATTTTAAGAGTAACGAGCAACTTTCTGTCCGATGTCTGAATATTGAAATGTGATCCCCATTTAGCCAAACACAATATCTCCATTACATCTCATACCATATAAATATTACGGTCTGCAAGTTTTAGACCTCTGTAACACATTGTAACATAAAGCAAATCAACTTTCTGCAGTCCAAATAACATTATGAAAGTGAGACTTAGTCCATCTCCATTACATCTCTTACCATATAAATATCGGTGTCCACCAGTTTTAGCCCTCTGTAACACATTGTAACGTAACGCAAATCAACTTTCTGCAGTCCAAATAACATTATTAAAGTATGACTTAGTCCATCTCCAACCATATAAATATTACTGTGTGACAGTTTTAGCCCTTTGTAACATATTGTAACGTAATGCATATCAACTTTCTGCAGTCCAAATAACGTTATGAAAGTGAGACAGTCCATCTGCATTACATATCTTACCATATAAATATTGGTGTCCTCCAGTTTTAGCCCTCTGTAACACATTGTAACGTAACGCAAATCAACTTTCTGCAGTCCAAATAACATTATGAAAGTATGACTTAGTCCATCTCCATTACATCTCCTACCATATAAATATTACTGTGTGACAGTTTTAGCCCTCTGTAACATATTGTAACATAACGCATATCAACTTTCTGCAGTCCAAATAACATTATGAAAGTATGACTTAGTCCATCTCCATTACATCTCCTACCATATAAATATTACTGTCTACCAGTTTTAGCCCTCTGTAACACAATGTAACGTAAGGTAACTCAGAAATCATCAACTTTATGCAGTCCAAAATGTCATTTTGAAATGAAAAGTGAGACTTAGTCCATCTCCATTACATCTCTTACCATATAAATATTGGTGTCCACCAGTTTTAGCCTCTGTAACACATTGTAACGTAACGCGGAAATCATCAAATTTCTACAGACCAAAATAACATTTTTAAATGAAAGTATGACTTAGTCCATCTCCATTACATCTCCTACCATATAAATATTAGTGTCTACCAGTTTTAGCCTCTGTAACACATTGTAACGTAACTTGGAAATCAACTTTGTCTGATGACCAAATAACATTATTTAAATGTCAACCATGTTTAGCCATTACATCCAAACACAAAGAAAAATATTACCACTTTTCTTTGAGAAACTTATATGTGGTGATCATATCTCCAGAGTCCACACAATAAGCCACACATCACCAATCTTCTGTTTTCAAATCACAGCTCGCATCTAATTTAATGTTATTTTTTTTGTTTGCAGAAACTATGTTTTGAGAATATGCTCAATGTCAGCAATTACTATTCGTATCATCAAAGTCCTTTCAGTCATCCAACAAGCAGAGGTGCTGCATAAACCACTAAAGATCTGGTGTATGCAAGGTACATCATTTTGACAATTCTGACACCGACCCGCCTTAGCGAGATGACTGTGCGCAAAAGTAGCCCCAGAGAAAACATAGACTTTTAATAGCAAGACAATGACACACAATGTTCAGCACTCTTAATAATTTTATTCAAGCACTGGTAACGTAGCATAATGTAAGATTTTTTTTCATATTTCATATTGCATGTGTAGATTTAGTTTTAACAAAAGGTGAAACACGAGAGCATGAACTAATAGGGTTGAGATGGGAGGAAAGGCTTTGCGGAAGATAGAAGAGCTGAGGAGACATGTTCGCTACCTACATTACTATTATTTCTTGCAGACTTGCAGACCTGACCAGAAAAGCAGTCAGTCAGTCACTCAGTCAAACATTTTTATAGTTAAAAGTTTTTCATCTTAAGAAACAGGGACTACTAGTCTTCATTTTTTTTTTCTTCTACCAAATCAAATAGGGGCGAGGGCCACTACCACATGACTGCGGGAGCGAGCATTCGAGCAGTGTACCTATTGTTGTTGTCTGTCTGTCTATCGCTTGACTAGGTTAAGGACCGCAATATCCCACACCATACATGCTACGGGCTCTCACTAGTCAATAAACACAATTTTGTATCATTTCTCGACTAAATAGCACTCTGAAACATCTTTACACATTTAAATTTTACATTGTCACGTGCACAGCCATCAAAGGGGAATCTCACTACTGCACGGATGTCGTGTGTGTGTGTGTGTGTGTGTGTGTTAAATAAAAGGTCCTTACATAGATTGTCATTTTCTTTGAGAAACTTATATGTGGTGATCATATCTCCCGAGTCCACACAAATAACCCACATCCATATTGAGAAAGAGAGAGAAGGCAAACATAGTTTGGTTATTGCATCTAGTTTTAAAAAGGGGTAAGAATAAGAAGAGTCATGTTCCATAAAAAATACTTTACAGCCTCCATTATTTATGTGCAGTAAGAGGGAAACGGGATCCGCACTTACAATTTCCAAGC